TTGCAATGAAGAAAGTTGAAGAAAGGACTTGAAACAATAGAAATATGGTTCAATAGAATCATGCTGTGAATATTATGGATAATATGAGCAATTACGAAGTTTTAGAGAAAATGGAAACAAACTGGAGACATGCTTAACATCAGAAAGAGACATTTAAAATTTCTAGGGCACATAATAAGAAAAGAAGGTTTGTAAAATTTGACACTCACAGGTCATATTGAAGGCAACGAGGAAAGAGGAAAACAGCGCATAACCCACCTAACGAGTTTGTGTACATAGTTTGTAGTATAGTGATTAAGAGAGCTAGCGAAATGACAAAAATTCCTAAGAGTTACACAGGAAGAGAAAATTTGGAGAGTAATGATTGCCCAAGGGAAAAAGAAGCGCGTCAATGCTTCTCTGGCGACAAGAATAAATACTTATTTTTTCATTAGAGAAAATAAAGAAAGGTACAACCAAGCTCCCTGTAATAAATTCAAACCAGGAAAGAATAGGTGATTAGTAATGTTAAAGAAACAATAAGGCATTAATCTTAGTTCAACTATACTTGAGTATTAACTTTATTTCTATCATTCCTCATAACTTTTATCATGTACACCAATGTGTACCGGTCCAAGCTGGTTCAAGTGCTAATACTAGTAGTATTAGTGATTTAAAAAAATAATAATACTTATGCCCAGAATCAGGAAAAGACAGTTGAAATTCCTTGGATATATAACGAGGAAGGAAGGATTGGAAAACTTAATCCTCACAGGGCATATTGCAGACAAAAGAGATTGGAGGCAGTGAGCCACTTATGTATGAATGGATGGCGGAAAATTGGCGGAAACATTCGTAAAAGTAGAAAAAACTGCCAAGAACCACAAGCGATGGGAAGTTTTGGAGAACCATGATCCTGGAGGAACGCAGTACATACAAGAAGAATGATTATTATGTAAAGAATGAATTGTATTCGCCATATAAAAAATTATCTTACGGAAATATATCATATACTATTAAAACTATACATTTTAAATAATAAGCAATTTTATATTTTTTTATTTCTTATTTATTTAAAAAAAAAATCATCGTATTTAGAAGTGCTACAAGATTGACCCCTCAGAATAATATTTTTCCCTAAATTTTTGTATTTGACGTTTCCTTATTTGGTATTTTGAGTATTATTATTATTATAGTTCTGAGTTGGCGGAATGTTGCCTAATTTTAGGGACTAAATAGAAAATAGTATTTTAACACACGTAATAACAAATAATGATACCTACATTGGTATGAAAGAATTCCAAGCATGCGACTGACCATGAGGAAAAACTTAATTCTTCTTTTCCTTCTTATCTGATTATTGATTCAAGAATTTCTAACAGATGGCATTCTAATTTGTGGATATTTAATTTTTTCAGCCATGTCATCGTAAGGCAATATATTGGGGCAATTCTTTTATTAGGTAAAGGCAATGAACGAGATTGTTTTTCCGTTTTCAAGTATGAAAAATGTTAATTGTAAATGAGTTTAATTGTAAATTAATTTTACTTAGTTAACTGATTTCAATCGCAAAAGAAAAGAAAGGATATAAAATTTTACAAGGATGGATGTTGGAATGTTCTTGGCACAATCCACTTACTATTTTAATAACCAAATATAACAATAATGACCAAACATAACAATAATGACCAAACATAATAATAATGACCAAACATAATAATAATGACCAAACATAATAATAATGATTTAAATATAATAATAACGATAATTTTGTGTAACTTGTTGGATCGATAACTTTTCACCACTTCCTTGAGTTATATATTAACATGTTCAATATACGTCTTCTTCTTTTTCTTCTTCTTCTTCTTCTTTGTGCTGTGTCCCTTGGGCAATCATGGCTCTCCACAGTTTCTTCTCCTTTGTAGCTATTAGGTAAGTTATGCGCTGTTTTCTTCTATCCCTCTTGCTTACAATATGTCAGATTTTCTAATTTCTCTTTCTTCATTATGTGTATTAGAAATTTTAACTCTTTGTTTTTGATATTAAGCATATGAGTCCTTTTTGTTTCCGTTTTCAATAAAAATTCGTCATTGATCACATATTCACTCCATAGTATTCTCAGCATCCTTCTGTAGAATCACATTTCTGTTGTCTCACCTGACTCTCTTCATCTGTAAGGAGATTGTCCAGTATACACTGGGGTACAGATATTGCATAACATTTAAGTACACTTCTTTTTTTTTTTTTCTAACAAAATTTTCATGTTTCTTAATAGTTGACTTAGCTTTTGGAAGGCATCTTTCACTATTCCAATCCGCCTTCGGATTTCGTTGTCGCACTTTCCATCCTCTGTTAAAACGCTTCCTAGATATACAAAAATGTACTTGCTTAATTTTGGCATCTCTAATTTGTAATTCGCATGTTGGGCTGTCTCTTTTGCTGACAACCATACATTCTGACTTCTTATAATACATTACTCTTTCATGTTCGCGTAAAACATATGCTTTCGAAGTGAAGAGAAGAATATAGTAACTTTAAATAAAAATTCAAATGTTTTTAATTTTAAACAACTTTCTCCAGACTAAACTAGGAACTGCATTTTTCTTTGATTAATTGACTTTGATTAATTGACTTTGATTAATTGACTTTGATTAATTAACTTTGATTAATTTGCTTTTTGTCTTTTGCTCATTTACTTTCTCACTCAAATAAAAGTTATGCGACTGGAGACTTATGTTCTCTTCTATTATAATATATAATTTTATTCATACAAGTTATATACTTATATTTAATATTTCCATAAGAGTGGTGGTATTCTACATGTTATCTTGTGGAATTGGTATAGTACACTTGATTTTAACGTTTTGCCGTAAAGCATTTTCAAAGAAGGGTTTGTAAGGTAATCGATCCTGTCCTGGCATCTTGACATCAGTCACTTTCTCACCGCCGTAACTTGTCTTCCATCTGTCTATAAATATTTTCGTGGCAATTGTTCTAATGAGCTCCCCTCCTTGGTACTTTGACCACATGGATTTAAGCGTAGAACTAAATTGACAATTAGGTTTACTGTTGAAATAGCTACATGTAACTGTAAGTCTATTATAATAGTTTATTTTTTCGCACTTCTTGTCTGTGGTTGAACCGATTTTTTCTTCCCTGTCAAATACAATCTTCAAAAATTTAAATGTAACGCTAATTATCATTTTCTGTCTTCCTGAAACTTGTTCTCTTATTGTCCTTTCTCCTCACTAAATTCTTTTTCCGTGTCGCATCTTAGTGACATTATCGCCTTACTTTTGGTGAAATGATTAATAAAATAAAATAATTGTTTTGTGTTGTAACTTATAGAGTGCTTTTGCGTAACCTATAAACATAGCTATAAGTATTTTTTTTATTTGTATTGCCTGCTCTGATAACATTCAGTCTAAATCTGTTATAAACTCTATTCGTTGGAATTGTAATTATAAAAATAAATTTAAATAAGCTAATTGTACTATGGAGTTTGCATTCAATTACAGAAACCATTTTTTGCCTCCATCGGTATGACTGATGCTAACCTCTAGGAAAAACTAATGGTGCCTTCTTGGTTTCACTTTTTTTTTTTTTTATACTGAAATGAAGAGGAGTGATTATATTGAATCGTTGGGTCTACTGCTAGTAAAGTCGGTTCACTGTGTCGAAACAAACAATTTTTCTCGTCAGAATCTATCTTGCATATTTATAAATCTACCGTTCGTCCGTGCATTGAATATTGCTGCCATATTTGGTCTGGTCTTCCGACTATATATATATCTCTAGATTCTCAACAAAATCCAAAGAAGGGTCTGTAATGTTATCGGTGCCGACCTGGCATCTCGACTTTCTCACCGTCGTGACTTTTCTTCCATCTGTCTATAAATATTTTCATGGCAATTGTTCTAATGAGCTCCCCTCCTTGTTACTTTGACCACATGAATTTAAGCGTAGTACTAAATTGACAATTATGTTTACTGTTGAAATAGCTATATGTAACCGTAAATTTATTATAATAGTTTATTTTTTCGCACTTATTACCTGTGGCTCTCTTCCGATTTCTTGCTTCATTGTCAACTACAATCTTCAAAAATTTAAATGCAACACTAATCACCATCTTCTGTATTTCGGAACCCTGTTTTTTGTATTTTATTTTCTTCTCGCTTCTCTTCATTAATGTCTTCTCTTTCACTTCTAGGCGTCCTGGTGACATTATTACCTTACGTGGGATGAAATAATGAACAAAATTACATTTAGTTTGACCAGAGGCTACTACAAGGAGATTTACCGAATAACACCTTGTATGCCGGGGGTCATTTTCTAACGAACTCGTTGTATAAACGAGTGTAAAAGGAGAGGGCAGAAAACTGCTTTCTCTTAGTTCCCAGATATTTAAATTGTTGTACTTGTTTGATTTTGTTTCACAAATATATATATATATATATATATATATATATATATATATATATATATATATATATATATAACAAGAAACTGTCCCAGTTCAATAGATGAGACAAGACACCTATAAACATAAACTTCCATAACAAATTGGCAACCTGACACCATTTCTTTTTTTTCAAGGAAATATATTGTCAGTCATTTATCTTAATCACTTTCAAAAGAGTAGGTTAGTAGTTAGTTGAAGAATGAAGTTTTTTCTTTTCTGTGCTGTTATAAATAAATAATTCTCTCTCTATATATATATATATATATATATATATATATACATATATATAATGGAAATTCCAACATTCATATTTATTCCATTGGAATCATAATTTATTCCAATTGGAATCGTTGTATTCTGATTGTTGAATTTAATTTTACGATTCCAATGGAATAAATTACAGTATTTAATATTATTAGTTTAAGCCACACACATTATATCCTTTATCTGTCCTGGACATTGAGTTCTACCTGGATCCTTCCTCTTGAATTTTTTTATTAAAAAATATACATATATGTGTATGCACCTATGTATATATATATATATATTTTGCATGTGTATGTGTATATTTACCACTAATATTATCTATCTATCTATCTATCTATCTATCTATCTATCTATCTATCTATCTATCTATCTAAATGGCGCAGCCACTCGAATCCGAGGAAGCCAATCTACTAGGGCTGCTATTGAATCCCCATTGCAGACGCCTGCTCAGGTACATTTTCTGTTTGTTCAAAACCCACAGAGCCCACCTGTGGTTTATACTGCAACTATGCTGAGCGGACGTTAGTTACAATTTCTGGGGGAGAGCGCTTTATCTAGCGTGATCGAAACCCTGAACCAGGCTAACACGCTCAAAACTTTGGTACCGATGACTTGTGACTTCGGGCTAGTACAACCACTGATAGCTTCCAAGTGTATCGTCTACCCAATTTCACACACAAAATATTCAGGTCAAACCGTTTTATTTTTTCCAGGCACTTTACAAAGGTTCCGCACGCTGGGATCGGTTCCTCCTCTATAAGATATAATATAGTTTTAAAGTATGGTATATTTATGGGTTAAAGTTCTGAATATCAGGCATAGAGTACCGATGACTTGTTTTAAAGTATGGTATATTTATGGGTTAAAGTTCTGAATATCAGGCATAGGTACCGATGACTTGTGACTTCGGGCTAGTACAACCACTGACAGCTTCCAAGTGTATCGTCTACCCAATTTCACACACAAGGCTTCGGTCAAGCCGTAGTATTTTTTCCAGGCACTTTACAAAGGTTCCGCACGCTGGGATCGGTTCCTCCTCTATAAGATGTAATATAGTTTTAAAGTATGGTATATTTATGGGTTAAAGTTCTGAATATCAGGCATAGAGCATATGCAAATATAAAAGTGGGCATATATATATATATATTGTGTGTATTTAGGCAGCATATTTTCATTTATACACGTTTCATTAAATAATATAGACAAGTGTTGTCTATTTATTTTATGTAAAATTTTTTCGTATCTTCTGATATGCGCGTGTTCATCGTTGCTTAGTGATCCACTATGTAAACTAAACAATGACAGACTATCATCACTGTCGTGTCCGTATATTGTTTGATATGTTTGTAATTACATCTTTGATAATGGCTTGAGTAAGCCGAAAGCTTAGATTATATTAAAAAAATAATGGATAAATATTGTGAATTTCTTTTTTTTACGGTTAATGATAATGTTATCAAACTTATCAGAAGATACGAAAAATTTTACATAAAATAAATAGACAACAATTGTCTATATTATTTAATGAAACGTGTATAAATATATATATATATATATATATATATATTACAAGTAATACAAATGTCCATAAAGTTCGTGTGCACTTTTAAAATTTATGATTTTATTTGTATTTGCGATAGAAATAATTTGTAAAAAGGATTAGAAAGAAGTAAAAATATATATTCTTTTAAGGTTTTATTGAAATTTTATTTAAGTTTCCACATGTCCTCCATCATTAGCAATACAAAGGGTAATACGATTTTGCAGTTCACGGAAAACATTTGCCAACTGATTTACAGTAATGCCGAAAATCACATTAGTTATTTACCGTAACATACCTACAACATGGACTCTTCCAGGACTATATAAAGTATGCGACATAACACTCTAAGAGAGAGAAGAAGAAGAGAAGGAGAGAGAGAGAGAGAGAGAGTATTCTAATACCGTAGTATCTGCCGCGTACGACTACCAATATTGGACACTAGCACATAGTAAGCTCCGCTTACACTTACACTATCTTTGTAACCTTTTTGTTTAATATATCTTTCTTACCTCTAATCCGTGTTCCGTGTTTTTCCTTCCGTGGTCCCAACTTTGGGTCCCACATCAGTGGCGACGAAGAATTCGAGAAACTCACTCACGCCGAAACCTCAATACCTTACCAGTCCCACATCAGTGGCGACGAAGAATTCGAGAAACGCATTCACGTCGAAAACCGTAATACCTTGCCAGTCCCACATCAGTGGCGACAGAAAGATTCGAGAATTTCGTTCTCACCATATCAATAGCGACAGAGTACTCGAAAAATACACAGAAACTCCACGCGTTCCCACAGTAGTGTTGAACGAGAAATTAAGCTGGTATTACTACATTAGCGATTTAAACGCAACACCCAGCGTCTACATATAAAAAAAAAATATTCCGATACCAAACAGCAGTGACGAATTAGCGATTCGACATCTACAGAATATTAAAGTCTGTCCAAATAACATTACGAGAACGATTTCTTACACACCCACACACTGAAAAAAAAACCCAGTTTGTTCATAAAACAAACTGACAACACAAGAGCCGAAGTACTATTTACGACTCAAGTTTTCGAAAAAAAAACTATCTATCTAAAAAATTTTTTATGTAACTGAGTTGAACTCGTGCATAAAATTATTCTCCCCTCAAATTCACTGAGGCGAGTTTTCTCTTTTTTTTGTACCTCTATAAAAAAAAAATAATAATAAGTGTGGTGAAAATTTATACAATTACGTTAAAATTAACGGAACCACGGAATCTCAAAAAAAGCTAAACACATAATTAGTTTAGTTTAACTAATTGTCTGTCCATATTTTTTTTTTTTTTTGTGTAAAAAAAAAAAAAAAACCTATCAAGATTTTTTTTTTGTGTACCTCCCCTTGTACACGGGTTTTCAAAGCAACAAAAAAAATCGCTGTCATTTTTGTTTGTCTAAATATGGAAGATTTTCAAAAAGTAATTGCCCAAATGCTAAAAAGTAAATTTGGATCAGCAACAAAAATCAGAAGAAAGACAACAACAACTATTTTTGGAATTACATAAACAACAAATGGAATTCCAACAAATTACGCTTCAGAATGCTGAACTACAACAGAAACAACAACTTAAAGAATTACTCGTAAATGCATTAAAAGGCTCAAACTCTGAAAAAGATACAATATTCTCCCAGAGTACAATCTACAATTCAATGGAAACCTTTGAATACGTACCAGAGAACGACAAAACGTTCGACGCTTTTTACAGGCGCTACGAAGATATTTTCAACGTAGACTGTGAACAATGGCCCAGTAAAAAAAAAAAGGTACGTCTACTATTGAGAAAACTGGGAACTACAGAACATAGTAGGTTCGTAGACTTCATACTACCCAAGAAAACCATTGACTTGGATTTTTCAGAGACTATTAAGCTCCTATCGGAACTATTCGGGCCTAACACAACCTTGTTCCACAAACGTTGGAAATGCCTGAACACAGTCAAAGACAACCAGCAAGATTTTCTAACGTTTGCAGCATCGGTAAACAAGCTCTGTAATGATTTTAAACTAGCCGAACTGACTGCCGATGATTTCAAGTGCTTAATTTTCGCACAAGGTCTAGTATCAGCAGAAGACGCCGAAGTCAGACGACGGGTACTGACCAAGCTTGAGAACGAACAAGGATTGACTCTCCAAAAACTGGCAGAGGACTGTCAAAGAGTAATATCTGTAAAGTGTGACTCAAACACTATCGAGGAATCAGGTGTGGCTCAGATTAATAAAATCAGAAGCAAGTCTACCTCCTATTCCCCTCAAAAAGACAAAAGGCAAATCTCATGTCCTAAATTCCGCAGTAACCAAAACCCAAATAGGTTAAAGAAACCGCCCGGACCATGTTACCATTGTGGTAAATGGCATTGGATGAAATTCTGTCCAGTTAAGAACAAAAAATATTGCAAAAATTGCAATAAAAGTGGGCATACTTTAACTTCGTGCTGGTACGCCAACAGAACAGAACGAGAAACCCAAAAATAAAATTAGGCAAGCTCAATCTGACGATATTGTCCGATAGGAATTTAAGGAAATATGTAACTGTGGATATTTTCAATAATTCCATTAAATTCCAGCTTGACTCGGGTTCCGATCTTTCAACCATTAACTGGCGTACTTGGCGAAAATTAAACAAGCCGACCTTATTAAAAACGGATAAAACAGCAAAATCCGTAACTGGCGAAAAGATTAACATTTTAGGCGAGGTAATACTTACAGTAACACTAAATGGAGTTACCAAAAAGCTCAAAGCCTACGTATTGAAAACTTCAGATAACTTATTTGGAACAGATTGGATAGAAAAATTCAATCTTTGGAATTGCCCAATGAGTACATTTTGTCGCAAGATACAAAGTACAACGTCCAATTTGGTAAATCTAAAAAAAAGAACTCAAACAACAATTTCCCCAGGTTTTTTCTGGCGGCCTTGGGAAATGTACTAAAATGAAAGCTAAGTTCAAGGTGAAGGACGGTGCAAACCGGTATTCAAAAAAGAACGGAATGTCCCTTTCGCTGCTCTAGAGCAAATCAACAAAGAGTTAGATAGACTCGAACAAGCAGGTATTCTGTCAAAAACAGATTTCAGCGAGTGGGCAGCACCTACGGTCTACGTAAAAAAAAAGTCCAATCAAATACGAGTATGCGCAGATTTTTCCACAGGGTTAAACGATGCCTTGCAAGATCACCACTATCCTCTCCCAAGCCCTGAAGAAATTTTCAATAAACTCAATGGTGGAAAATTTTTTTCTAAAATTGACCTCTCGGACGCATACCTTCAGATAGAGGTGGAAGAAGAAAGTTCCAAATTGCTCTGCATAAACACCCATAGAGGGTTGTACAAATACAACAGACTGGCTTTTGGAGTAAAGGTTGCGCCTGCAATTTTCCAGCAGGTCATGGACGCCATGCTGGGCGACCTTGACTACGCAACAGCCTATTTGGATGATATACTGGTTACTAGTAAAACTACGGCAGAGCACCGGAACCATATAATAAACGTATTCGAAAAGATACAAGAATACGGTTTTAAGGTTAAGGAGGCAAAGTGTGACTTTTTCTTACCAGAGATTAAATACTTAGGGCACATCATAAATAAAGACGGTCGTCGGCCGGATCCAGAAAGAGCCAACGCGATCAGAAACATGCCGGCCCCAGATAACGTTCAAGCGTTACAAAGCTTCCTCGGCCTAGCTAACTTTTACCAAGGGTTCATTAAGAACATGCAAAATTTGAGAGGGCCTCTCAACCAACACTTTAAAAAGGACAAACCATGGTCATGGACCCCGGAATGCCAAGACGCATTCTAGAAGATCAAGAAAATTCTTACTTCGGGCCTCTCCCTCACCCATTACGACCCTAGTCTCGACATCATAGTCGCAAGTGATGCAAGCTCGTACGGC